TGCTGCACTAGTTCAAGGTCGACGTGGAGTCATCAGCGCTAACACCATGCGACGCCGTCTACACGCTACAGGGCTCCTTGCTCGACGTCCTTACGTTGGACCAATTCTGACTGACAGACACCGTAAAGAGCGTATACAATGGGTTAACAGGCATGTTCAGTGAAGGTTACAACAATGGCATGGTATGGTAGTCACTGACGAGTCACGTCTTCATTTACGTAATGCTGACGGCCGATTACGTGTTTGACGTACACGTGGTGAACGTTATGATGAGTGTGTAGTTCAGACTGATCGTAGGGGTGGTGGGAGTGCCATGGTCTGGGGTGGAATAAGTTACAATCACAAGACTGCCTTCATGTCTGTCAAGGGAGAGTTAATGCCCTTTACTACCGTGACCAGATTCTTCAGAATCACGTCGTAGCATTCTGCAATCACTACCAAGATTTTCATACTTTTCAACGGGACAACGCACGGGCACACACAGCTAGACTTTCCATGCTGCAACACATCCAGGGAATTCATTGGTCAGTACTATCGCCACATCCCCTTGTGGGACGAAATTGATCAAAGTCTTTCGCAGCGACAACAGATGCGAAACATCCAGGAACTTGAGGCCACACTACTGCAGAAGTGGAATGCCATCCTCCAGAACTCAATTCGGAAGCTTATTGACTCAATGAGGAGGCGTTGCACTGCATGTGCCAATGCAAATGGCGGTCACACGCGATAATGACTTTTCGATTTGACCCCTCGTGAGTTTGATCCTTTCTGACTGTGGAACAATTAATTGAATCAGCGTCTTTTCTGTGTTGTTGTTTTTGTCAGTCGTCCATCTGTTATTATCCACTAAAAATATAAATTCCTTACACGTGCTTTTAGTAATCTGAACTTTTGTAAGTGGTGCGTTTTCAATATTGGTTAGTATATATTAAATTATCTCTCTTGCCATAACACTGTTGTCCGTCTTTATATATTTTACGCCGCTTCATTTTTATTACACCATTGAACCAAAGTCACACAGTGACAATATTTTCGTATCACTGAAAACAAAAGACCAACACAAACACTACATTATCACATGAATATTATCAAAACAATTATACATATACAAATACAAATACATTTATACAAATAAACGAGTCTAGACAAGATACGGGAAAATATTCGTTCACTCTTCAATCACACTTTTCTTGTCCTTTGTTTCGTATCACTGAAAACAAAGCCTAACAACTTCGTTATACACAATCCAAGTGATTATCAAAATTAATATGTTTACAAAATACTATCATTCAATTATTTATACACGTCTACGAAATCACCGTCTACGAACCAGTCTGGGCTACGAGTCCACCGCGTCTACGAACTTGTTCAGCCAAATACTATCATTCAGTTATTTATACACGTCTAAGAAATCACCGTCTACGAACCAGTATGGGCTACGAGTCCACCGCGTCTACGAACTGGTTCACCGTCTCCCGTCAGAACAACCCTCTCAACAAACGTGTCTGCGATACTTGTTTCCATGTGTATACTTTGTTTCTAAGGTATACATGAATGGTATAGCCGAAAGAAATACATCTTCATCAGCTGGACGTCTGGATACTCATAACCCTAATCTTCGTTATGCTGAAGACAGAAACACGAAACGATGTGACTGCAAAACATTATGCAATGTGTTGTCTCAGAGATATGTTTCATTTGCGTACACACAAAAGAAGCGAAGAGTTTATTTCTTTAAAATCTTAACATTTTATAATAAGGAAACAGAAATACAGCATATATGTTGATTGTCTGTGTGAAGTTGTCTCCATCAGTCCTACAGCGATCCACAGGAATTATCGGTTTTAATACGCGATTATGTAGATAAAGACAAACTCTATGGATGAACAACTTTATTCGGGAGATGCGACGTTTCGATACAGATTCTTGTATCGTTGTCAAGCAAGTCGTATCTCCGAATACAGAAGTTGTACATCCATAAAGTTTGTCCCTATCTGACTCACCAGCTTGTAAATATGCCTCTAAAAGAAGTTACGCGATAATGCTTCACCTTAAACAGAATACTTGCAGATACCCTACATCTATTATATCATTTCCATATACATGTATGATGTATTTTTATCCTACAGTCCGTTATTGAACGCTATCTCAAAAAGGGAGGTAAAGTGTTTGCATGTTTCATAGACTTTTCCAAAGCCTTCGACTTCGTGAATAGGACAAAACTGTGAAATATGTTAAGGCTAAGAGGAGTAAGCAGCAAAATGCTTAAATCAATCCAAGCCCTCTATGCAAGTGTTAAAGCGTGTGTCAAATTTAATAATAATTTATCAACATGTTCTGATTGTCCATTGGGTCTACGACAAGGGTGTATCCTAAGCCCTCTTCCTTTTTCCATTCTTATCACTGAACTAGCTTATGAAATCGAAGCACGTTGCGTACCAGGAATTCAGCTTCATCCTGAACTTGTACAGTTATTATCCCCCGCCGCGCGTTTAGCGGGGTATTAGGTTCCGTCCGTACGTCCGTCCGTACGTACGAATTGGAATATCTTAAGAACCGTTCACTAGATTCTTTTCATATTTGGTACCTGGGTTCATCACACTATAAGAAAAGTCCAAGTCAGGTTTGGTGACCTTGACCTTCATTTTTAAGGTCACAAGGGGACTTTCACGTTTTACCTGCATGTTAAGCTGTCTCAAGAACCGTTCACTGGATTTTCTTCATATTCAATACCAAGCTTTTTCTCGGGAAGGTGCAGGACCCAGTCGATTTTGGTGACCTTCACATAATTTTCAAGGTCATGGCGACACTTTGAAGATTTCAGCATGTAAACCTGCATGTAAAGCTATCTCAAGAACCGTTCACTGGATTTTCTTCATATTCAACCCCAAGCTTTATCCAGGGAAGGCGCAGGACCCAGTCGATTTTGGTGACCTTCACTTAATTTTCAAGGTCACAGAGACACTTTGAAGATTTCAGTATATTAAACTACATGTTATGCTTGTCAGCGAGATACCTCAAGAACCATTCACTGGAGTTTCTTCATATTTGACACCAAGCTTCATCCCTAACAATTTATTTTTAGCTATAAAACTATCACTATTCCTTGCAAACACCTTTCAACTAAAGGTATATTTCCCTTCTAAAAATTAAACGAATATTTGAAAGAAGGTTTTAGCGATAGAATTTAATCCTTCTTCGCTGTGTACCGAGAATTGAAGCCAGTGAGCTACAATATGCCGACTTGAAACTTTACTACAAATCTACTGTACTAATACTGACACCAATAACAATTATTTGACTTAAAATGAAGTGACAGAATAGGTAACTTATCTTCTACATGTAGGTTTTCAGTTGTCACAACACTCAGCGAATGTAATAAGCTGTTGAAAATTTACAGTGCTCAATCTTAAAAACTAAGCTGCCACCATATTGGCTACACTGGTCACGTGACGAGCCGAGGCATACGCTAAGGGGCTTTTCGAGGAGTGACCACTCCCCGTTATATAGTCTCCCTGGTAAAATGTAATCCAACTCTATACCTGTTTTTGCATTAAAATCCCCACCTAGTAGTACATCTACATTGCCAAGTACATCAACATGATTAAATCACAGGAATATTTTGTCTCCACATCTCAACAACAAACACTACTAACAGGTGGAACTATCAATTTATTTATTGAGGAACAAAATCTGTAGGGGTTTCACATAAACATACAACATGTACAGTCACTGACTGCCAGCATCAGATGATGTTGTCAACAAATGTAGAACACATATCAGACACAGACCTCTCAACCTCTGCACAAGTCATTTATAATCTGGCACAAAACGGAGATTGACAACATCTGATTCTATTTAGTCTACTCTAGAGTTCTGATAACCTTAAAACCTGTTTGAACATGATCAGTTCATTCAAGTAAATGTGGCATAGCTTTGTTGTGTAGCATAGCCTGTGTATAAAGCGTTCACTCATCATGATGATGGTTCGCTTTCAAGTTTCCTTTCCAGTGCCTTCCTGTTCATTCATGATACTCATATCACACATCAGTTCAACTGATGGAACATAAAAGCAGAACAATAGTGCTCACAGATTAATCAACGTCGATACAAACAAGCTTGCTGCACTTACAAATGGACACAACTCTCCAAACAGTGATTTTTTACCTGATTGAATATTGGCTATAAGTGAGCATGATATAACTAGAAGTAGCCACATGGTTACCTTACATGATATACAGCCTCCTTAATATTACCTAACAGGCATCTTCTTGACATGGAGCACAATGAATATTAGCATTATGTGACTATGATGACATATGTTGTATTGATTATTTGTAACAAGAACTCACAGTTACTTCTTAACATTTCTTCACATGTAGATATGTTATATATCAATACACTTGACCAGGATAATACACTGACAAGATCAGAACTGACTTTCTCAAAATCCTAAATATTAAAGATGAAGAAAATGAAAGACTATATCAAATGACTATATTGATTTTAAATGGGACATTTCCAAAAGAAGAAAACTGATGTGTATTAATTTGTCTACACTATAGAATAGACTTGTCTGTTAAACACAAACAAAATAATGGTCATATCACTACTTCAGTGTTGCAAAAGGAGTGAGTGAATATCATTTTACAGCACATCTAGTAACATTCCAGCATTATCAGAGCCACGAACCTCAGAAATAGGCTTCACAAATTGTACCCATGTGAGGAATCGAACCTAGGTTTTCAACATGACCAGAGGACACTTTAAGCACAAGGCTATCCCTCTGCCCTGTTACAGGTCTACTGCATGAGAAGTATAACCTGTGGATAAAACCACAGACTGTGTTCTCTCCTTTATGCCCTGTTACAGGTCTACTGCATGAGAAGTATAACCTGTGGATAAAACCACAGACTGTGTTCTCTCCTTTATGCCCTGTTACAGGTCTACTGCATGAGAAGTATAACCTGTGGATAAAACCACAGACTGTGTTCTCACCTTTATGCCCTGTTACAGGTCTACTGCATGAGAAGTATAACCTGTGGATAAAACCACAGACTGTGTTCTCTCCTTTATGCAGGTTACAGGTCTACTGCACAGAGAAGTATAACCTGTGGATAAAACCACAGACTGTGTTCTCTCCTTTATGCCCTGTTACAGGTCTACTGCATGAGAAGTATAACCTGTGGATAAAACCACAGACTGTGTTCTCTCCTTTATGCCCTGTTACAGGTCTACTGCATGAGAAGTATAACCTGTGGATAAAACCACAGACTGTGTTCTCTCCTTTATGCCCTGTTACAGGTCTACTGCATGAGAAGTATAACCTGTGGATAAAACCACAGACTGTGTTCTCTCCTTTATGCCCTGTTACAGGTCTACTGCATGAGAAGTATAACCTGTGGATAAAACCACAGACTGTGTTCTCACCTTTATGCCCTGTTACAGGTCTACTGCATGAGAAGTATAACCTGTGGATAAAACCACAGACTGTGTTCTCTCCTTTATGCCCTGTTACAGGTCTACTGCATGAGAAGTATAACCTGTGGATAAAACCACAGACTGTGTTCTCACCTTTATGCCCTGTTACAGGTCTACTGCATGAGAAGTATAACCTGTGGATAAAACCACAGACTGTGTTCTCTCCTTTATGACAACCCAGATAATGTGTTGATATGGTGATGGTTTAGATAGGTATGTATTTATGGAATGTAGGAGACACAAAGATACTCACAAAGGCACTGACCTTATGCTATACTTTGATGATGAGGAACTGGGACTTCTTCAAAAAAATGTTTGAAAATTACAATTTCAGTGTACAAAAGGAAAATAAAACCTGTTCAACGGACTTGTTGGATATACTGAAAAAAGTGTGTCATGGTTTCTCACAAAATCAATTCCTGTTCTTCCATTCAGTGATAACAGGTTAGAGGCCGAAATACATGTCCTGTCTGTAAGGCTGTATAACTTTCAGAGTTGGTTTACATGACTGAAGTAAGAAAACCACATATTGATTTTCATAAAAACATTTCAGGACTTTTCCAATCAGGTGAAGGAAAAGACATGCAACTTTATCACTGTTATTCATAAGAAATGATGAAGACTATGTACAAACATATATTTATCCAACCACCAAAAGAACAAATTATCTTTTGGTATCTTGCCATGCAGAAACATGAAATTTGTTTGTATTTCATTAAGTAGTAGCAATACTAATCTGGATGATGAAAATTATACTAGTGTAGTGTTTCCAAAAGCCTATAATGAATTACATCCAGATGTTGATGTTGAAACATGTGTGATCCATCAAATAATAAAAAGGGCTTACAAACTTCCCATGTCACCTCTAAGAATCTAATGTGGTTGGTCATTTGCTAAAATCTACACAAACACTTCCATTGTGAATTCATGCACACCACACTTCTTCCTATTCGAATATTACATTAATAAATCTAGGAAACTTGTCAAATTTTGTTGAATAACTTTGTTGTCTCATCAATCAAAAATGATGAAAAAGATTATACTGGATCAAAAGCTGAATTATGTCAGATTTCAAACATTTCAACAAACTCAATAACATAGAAAAAAATAATGTGTGGTGAAACAAGCCACTAATCCTACAACAATATCACCAAGGCTAACTGAAAGTATTTCTGGCATAAATGCTTTTAATCTAAGTTACCGTAGATACAAATCTATTTTCATCATAGCCGCTGATTCTAGAACAATATCACCAAGGCTAACTGAAAGTATTTCTGGCATAAATGCGTTTAATCTAAGTTACCGTAGATACAAATCTATTTTCATCATAGTTGCTGATTCTACAACAATATCACCAAGGCTAACTGAAAGTATTTCTGGCACAAATGCTTTTAATCTAAGTTACCGTAAATACAAATCTATTTTCATCATAGCCGCTGATTCTACAACAATATCACCAAGGTGAACTGAAAGCATTTCTGGCATAAATGCTTTTATTCTAAATTACCGTAGATACAAATCTATTTTCATCATAAAATCAAGGGCTATTGTCATTATCTTTCACTGCACATGGGTATATTGCAAGCAGTGTAACAACGGACAATTACATGACTACATACGCTACTTGATGATGCCTTGACTCTGGTATAAACAAATACATACCAAATTAGTTACCAGAGTTTAGACAATCTGGCATGAACTTTTCATGTGTAGTCTCCATTCAAGAAATATAGCTGTCTATACAGAATACAAATACATGCTTTGGTCAAAATTCAGTTCAAACATTAACTGTCAAGCCTGTTTGTAAACACACATCAGCTTACTTGTGTTAGACACATACATGTGGATTAACATAGGTATTATGTACACATAAACAGTGGAAGCCCTCTAAACCGGCACTCGTTGGGACCGACAAAAAATGCCGGTATAGAGGTCGTGCCGGTTTAGAGAATGATAATAAATTAAACACCATCTGTCGGGACCAAATTCTAGTGCCGATATTGAGAGCATGCCGGATTGGAGGGCTGCCGGATTGGAGGGCTTCCACTGTATATTTGAATGTTTCAATGATATCTGGGGTAGCATATTTACATCTATGCATGTTGGCTTAGGTGTAATTCTGGTGAAATAAAACATACACCACTTACACATATGAATATATTAGCAAATACAGTCAACTGTTTATGAAACCAGCAAGGAAATACCCTTGGAAGCACAGTCTAGGACAAGTCATACTGTCGCATACATACACACGGCGTTGCAACTGGAATTTGGCTGGTTCTACTAGGTTTTTATCTCAGGTTGCACCTGGTTCAAGTAGGATAACATCTCTTAAATCGAGCCCTGCAGTGTGCTGTTCATAGCATGCTGCTCATGATGGGCTGTGCACTAAATGCTCATGGTGTACTTATGTGTCCATAATTTGATCAGTGCTCTAAACATTGTATTAAAAATCTTGAGCTATTTGGGGGTATGTATTTAACTGAATCGCTGCTTGATCACAAGGAGCAAACAAAGTTCAGGTGATTGGTATTTAGAAATAAAACAAACTCAATATTTTTGTTTGCTGCATGTAAGAAAGTTTATATAAATGTACAGGAATAATTGAAATCATCTTCTCTGGTTATCATTTATTGCAAGGTTGACATTGGTGACCAAGTTTGTTCTTTCCAAGACTTGATTTGAAACAAAATGGTATTTTTACTGTTTTACACAAGAAAACATATTCTCTTGAAACAGTGGCCTGAGAAGTCAGTTCATTCAAATTACTGTGATAGGATACTTTTGAATCAATATCTGAACACACGATGGGAGTCGAGTCACATGACATGGTAAATCAGCCAGTCAGGCTGGTCATTCTCGGTATTAGTAAAGTAGTGTAATTGAAACAACCAGTTTTGAATGTAAATACAGTAGTCATTATTGCACCATTATGTCTACAAGGGTATCTAATATGTTTCTAAGATCCATAGTATATATTCCAAACCTGTACAAGTTCCATCGAAGAAATTTTGGTTTCTTATGGCACAAAGAAATATGAAATGAAGATGCTAAAGAAATAAATCATACCTATTTAAGAAAGCTTAAGAACCTAAGTCCCCTCGGCAATCATTGGAGTGAAATATCTGCTTTTATATATAAATTGAGGATGCCACTATATACAGTCATCCCTCTCTATAACGTGGGTCTTAAGGGTCCGTGGATGGCCCGCCAAAAAAGATCACTGTCAAAACTACATAATGTTGGAGGTGAACAAACAAAGTTAGTAAATGAAAATTGGAAACTTTGAATCAAACATCACTAGACATGATAATTCACAAGTTCAGTGGTACTTCCTGTTAGGCGAGGAATTGTTTTATATAGAGAGATAAAGATTATCACTGCATTTGCACTGTCAACTAAGCCAGAAATTGATATTAGCTGTGTACATATTTTGCTTCAATTGACTGGTGATTCAGTTAAAAATAATCTGATATTATAACTTCAAAGAAGTTCCATTCCATGACTAGAAGAATATATATCTTAAACAATTATTTTAACAGGGATAATATATCTTTTATGTTGTTACTATGATACCTTTTTTCCTATGCACATATTTAACATAATAACAATCATAAGCACTTGGGTACGTTGCTGCATACATTTGATGTATGAACAGCACAGTCAGCAGCTCACAGTGAACAGCATATTATGAACAGCACAGTCAGCAGCTCACAGTGAACAACATACTATGAACAGCACAGTCAGCAGCTCACAGTGAACAACATACTATGAACAGCACACAGTCAGCAGCTCACAGTGAACAACATACTATGAACAGCACACAGTCAGCAGAACAGCACAGTCAGCAGCTCACAGTGAACAACATACTATGAACAGCACACAGTCAGCAGCTCACAGTGAACAACATACTATGAACAGCACACAGCAGCTCACAGTGAACAAAATATTATGAACAGCATACAGTGAACAGCTCACAGCATACTATGAACAGCACACAGCTCACAGCATACTATGAACAGCACACAGTGAACAACATATTATGAACAGCACAGTCAGCAGCTCACTGAACAGCAAACTATGAACAGCACACAGTGAACAGCATACTATGAACAGCACAAATGAAGCAGTTTAAGAGTTCACTGCTATATAAGATACATTCTATATATAGTTTATATCCCAATAAATTTGTTGTTCAAGGGACTTACACTTCAAGTCAATAAAAACATATAATTGACTTGACTCTGAGAAGAAAATGAACAGCATCACTTTCCAAGAAAATGAGTATGTTATGTTGTTGTTGGTGTTTGAAGGTGTTTAGGTGCTGATGCATTGATCAATGGTGTTTGCTGGTGAGAACCAGTTGGTGTATGACAAATATTGACAACATGTATACAATGGTACTGTCAGTTACAGTCAGCACTTATATAGACAATATTAAGAGCTGGGGTATGCCTCAAGCCTTAAGGAATAAGTTTGTATTTTCATCGGATATAAAACATTTGTACTCTTCTTACATCATTCTTCTTCATTACTGAACCTCAACAGCACCAACATGGATGTCTATCCATTAAAGAAACATTCTTGTGTTTGTTTCATATAATCAAAATGTAAAATGCAATATTTGTAAAATGTGAATACTTGACTGTAAATATGGAATCAGGCAGTGGAAAAAAAACAGAAAATATTTTAATTTTACAAGTTTGCCATATATGGGTTTAAACCAGCCCCGCACCATATAATGACTGACATGAAATAGGATTTCAGTGCCAGATATATAAACTTTAAGATATAAACGTATCCAATAGAAGCTTTAGGAAGACAAATGTATTTGCAAAATTGGGGAAAATACGTTTCGGAAGTTTTCGAAAGGTTCTTTAAAAGCCAGAAACCAAATTGTAACTGCTTGTTTGCTGCTGAATGGTTATTGCAATATTCCAACCAGATGACAACAGTCTGCACCAGATAATTCAGTTTGGCAGCCTGACTACATGATCCCAATACATGGAAACTGAAAGAATCCCACACAAAAACATTGCAAGTGGCAAAGAGACCATCCAGTTCCTGTTTACGTTGACGGGAGGTCCTGCTTGTTTCTTAACGACCGGCTATTTCTGCCTTTGGGTGAAGAACCACAATTTCTTTTGTTTTAACAGGTCATCTACATTTTTTTTGGGTTTTACAACTAAGGTTATTCTGGAACAACTTTCAGGACAATTATTACTGAGAACCTCTAGGATAGGACAACAGACCCTGGTAGATTCCTGTTGGAAGATGTGAAAAACCAGTAAGCCTATCATATACACCGACTTCATTTATCTGGGTCTATACACATAAATAGCTCCCCTTAAATTTGTCCGCATATCAATTTAAAAGCGTACTATTTTTCTTTTCTGAACAGGAGCTAGCTTCCTATCCTCCTCATGAGTTCTGAAGCTAAACCTAAAAAATATATCTATCAACATTTATATATAGCTTCATCGCATCGCACAATATATAAATGACATTACATGACATATATTTTTTCAGAATTATTATCTAAAAACTATGAAGAATTTGGAAAAACACTGACATTAAGAATGCCATTGTGAAGAAGACATTGAAACATAAAACAATTACCAGTGATTATACATGTATATATATATATATATATATGCTAACAATTCCTTTTCTCACAAGACACCAACAATAGCCTGATGACATTATTCACAGCTTGGAAAGATTAAACAAATAATATTTCAACAAAATATCTACTATTATATGTTCTTCAGGAATTCATAATTGACCTGATCAAGAAATCATTCTGAATTTCCTTTGATTTGTGGAAAGAACAATTTGTCAAAAGAAAAGTTACTGACTGATAGTCAGAGCTGAAATACATTAGAAAACAATGGTGGTTAGAGAGATCCGAACTGACAACACAAATGTCAAAATATAGTTGCAGGCACCAATGAGGGCTCCTCGGCTTTAGTTCTATCTATCTATTGTATCTGAGGGCTAGATATCATTGTCCAAAACGGAGCCAGAACACGTTTTTGACAGGCGAGCGGATCTTCCAAATAGAGCCCCCAGGTTCATGTACCTTTTAAGAATTTCCGGAGAAGAAATAGTTCCCTCTTTAAAAGGCTGTATCTCAGTTGTTCTTGGGTCTAGGGTCAAAATAATTAGTGTTCTGGAATCACCAAGCCATCATCTACCATATTGACTTGACCCGTCCAGGCAAAATTGTTGGGAATTCGATTGTGGATCTGTACAAGAGACTTGGAAGTGTTGGAGCAATTAGTTCTTGAGATATTTGCAGTCAAACTTTGAAATTTTGGAATTAATTTTGAATTATCTCCCCTTTGCTATTGGGCCTAGAGCCTAGAGGTTTTTAAGGGGAATATCTACACCTTTTTTGTAAGCGATCGATCGGAGCATTGGTTTAGGAGTTATGTTTGGTACACAAATTGGCGGAATAATAAATAATAATAATAATAATAATAATCCGAACGATTACAATAGGTCTCCTGCCTAGAGGCAAGGAGCCCTAATGATTAAATGCACAATTGGTGCTCAAATCAATTTCATTCATCCAGTGGTTCAACGAATATATTCAAATTTTTCATACACTGAGAAAACAGGCCATCCCTAAAGCACTGCCTTCAGCTCAATGAACTCAACATTGAAAGAAAACTAATATGTGATAACTTTGATAATTAACACAGTTTTGATGAGAAACATCAACCAACCCATGTCAATTTTCGTACATGTGAGCCGTCATAACCTTGAAATTGTTCCTTCCCAAAGTTTTGGGTCCTCGTGCTAGATGGCTCTAGTGACATTCTAGTTCCCAGGTGCTTTAAGATGGAACGGACCAAAGCATGTGCTATTTCCTAAATACTATGTTCAGTCACCAGGGGTGATTCAAGAAATTGTAAATGTGAAGTAAAAGTTGGTCAAACAGACACATATAGTCACAGAGAACAAAAGACGATCGGAAACATATCTAGAAGGTCCATTCACACATGACTGAAGATTCACTCTGGATTTCTTGGAGAAAAAAGACATGGTGCTATTTGTAAGAATCTGGCAAATCAGTATCATATATTTCTTATGCTGCAAAACTGAAAACAAAAAGTCCACAGTGCTTCACTTGAAAGATTGTCATCTGTATCAACAACCGATCCTGGTGCTGCTTACTGCCAACACACAGAATGGTTCTATAAAAGGTTCTTACGCACGTTCTACATTCCACAAGTATCATTTCAAGTCCACTGTTATATCCAAGTCACATGTTAAATTCAATTTCATGTTCTATAATACACTCATATTTCAATTCATGTTCTATAATACACCCATATTACAAAGGAAGGTCATATCCAAGTCACATGTTAAATTCATGTTCTATAATACACCCATATTACAAAGGAAGGTCATATCCAAGTCACATGTTACAATGCATGTCATATATTACACACATACTAGTATTAATCTACTGATATGTTATTATGTTTCACATGCTGAGATTCCATCACTATCCCAACTGATTCTTGAGTGCAGCGTAAAACTAACCTCACACACTTACCCAACTTCCACACTAGACATTCATATTATTTGTATTCCAGTTGATATTTAGCTGACATTTTGGTAGTTTGGGATGCTTCAGGGTGGGTGCAGACATGGGTGTTGGTGTTAATGGGGTGTGTGTAGAAGTGGACGTCACGTTGTGTGGGTGTGGCTATGGATGTGAGTGAGCATGTAGACCTGGGTGTGGATGTCATGTAGGTGTGGCTATGGATGTGAGTGAGCATGTAGACCTGGGTGTGGATGTCATGTAGATGTGGCTATGGATGTGAGTGAGCATGTAGACCTGGGTGTGGATGTCATGTAGGTGTGGCTATGGATGTGAGTGAGCATGTAGACCTGGGTGTGGATGTCATGTAGGTGTGGCTATGGATGTGAGTGAGCATGTAGACCTGGGTGTGGATGTCATGTAGGTGTGGCTATGGATGTGAGTGAGCATGTAGACCTGGGTGTGGATGTCATGTAGATGTGGCTATGGATGTGAGTGAGCATGTAGACCTGGGTGTGGATGTCATGTAGGTGTGGCTATGGATGTGAGGTGAGCATGTAGACTTGGGTGTGGATGTCATGTAGGTGTGGCTATGGATGTGAGTGAGCATGTAGACCTGGGTGTGGATGTCATGTGCGTGGTGTGGCTATGGATGTGAGTGAGCATGTAGACCTGGGTGTGGATGTCATGTAGGTGTGGCTATGGATGTGAGTGAGCATGTAGACCTGGGTGTGGATGTCATGTAGGTGTGGCTATGGATGTGAGTGAGCATGTAGACCTGGGTGTGGATGTCATGTAGATGTGGCTATGGATGTGAGTGAGCATGTAGACCTGGGTGTGGATGTCATGTAGGTGTGGCTATGGATGTGGAGTGAGCATGTAGACCTGGGTGTGGATGTCATGTAGGTGTGGCTATGGATGTGAGTGAGCATGTAGACCTGGGTGTGGATGTCATGTAGGTGTGGCTATGGATGTGAGTGAGCATGTAGACCTGGGTGTGGGTGTCATGTAGGTGTGGCTATGGATGTGAGTGAGCATGTAGACCTGGGTGTGGATGTCATGTAGGTGTGGCTATGGATGTGGAGTGAGCATGTAGACCTGGGTGTGGGGTGTCATGTAGGTGTGGCTATGGATGTGAGTGAGCATGTAGACCTGGGTGTGGATGTCATGTAGGTGTGGCTATGGATGTGAGTGAGCATGTAGACCTGGGTGTGGATGTCATGTAGGTGTGGCTATGGATGTGAGTGAGCATGTAGACCTGGGTGTGGATGTCATGTAGGTGTGGCTATGGATGTGAGTGAGCATGTAGACCTGGGTGTGGATGTCATGTAGGTGTGGCTATGGATGTGAGTGAGCATGTAGACCTGGGTGTGGATGTCATGTAGGTGTGGCTATGGATGTGAGTGAGCATGTAGACCTGGGTGTGGATGTCATGTAGGTGTGGCTATGGATGTGAGTGAGCATGTAGACCTGGGTGTGGATGTCATGTAGGTGTGGCTATGGATGTGAGTGAGCATGTAGACCTGGGTGTGGATGTCATGTAGGTGTGGCTATGGATGTGAGTGAGCATGTAGACCTGGGTGTGGATGTCATGTAGATGTGGCTATGGATGTGAGTGAGCATGTAGACCTGGGTGTGGATGTCATGTAGGTGTGGCTATGGATGTGAGTGAGCATGTAGACCTGGGTGTGGATGTCATGTAGGTGTGGCTATGGATGTGAGTGAGCATGTAGACCTGGGTGTGGATGTCATGTAGGTGTGGCTATGGATGTGAGTGAGCATGTAGACCTGGGTGTGGATGTCATGTAGGTGTGGCTATGGATGTGAGTGAGCATGTAGACCTGGGTGTGGATGTCATGTAGGTGTGGCTATGGATGTGAGTGAGCATGTAGACCTGGGTGTGGATGTCATGTAGGTGTGGCTATGGATGTGAGTGAGCATGTAGACCTGGGTGTGGATGTCATGTAGATGTGGCTATGGATGTGAGTGAGCATGTAGACCTGGGTGTGGATGTCATGTAGGTGTGGCTATGGATGTGAGTGAGCATGTAGACCTGGGTGTGGATGTCATGTAGGTGTGGCTATGGATGTGAGTGAGCATGTAGAAGTAGGTGTGGATGTCATGTAGTGGTTTGGCTTCATCCTTTACTCTGACAATTAAACTTCAATCAATAATCTGTTTGTGTCTTTGTTCCCCTTGAAATCCTGGATGAACATCTGATGATCTTTCCTGCATTACAACAGTTTGACTAATGATGCCTCATTTGATGAGTTTGCTGGATGGACCGTGAGGATCCGGTACATGGCTGCGAGATATCCTGTACTTGTCCTGATGACCTGCATACTTACAGCAAGAGATTGTGGAACATGTTTAGCTGACTGTAATCTTCAGCTAACAATAGTTAAGAAAATTATTGGACCCTGAACATGTTCCAGGCGATCAGTGTCAACTGTTCAGCAAGGAGGGACCAAAGCAACTAGTGATGAACATAGTCTTGACAACAGTTCAGGTATTGGACTTTATACACATTCTGGTGATTGTCAGTTGTCAGTGTACGAGGAGGCCAAACCCTGTCGTAATGACCTTATCCTTGCCCAGGAGGGGATTCAAGTTTTCTGTAGCAGCTGAAAATGCTGCTGCCAAGATCTGGTGATATCTTCACAGTATTTTCACTCTCACTAATGTCATCTGTCAAGTCAGCCATACTGGTTGATGCTCCATCCAACTCCATAAACATTGAATACATCCAGATCACAGTTTTAGAACACCCAACACTCTTCAGTCCTCATGTACAGACAAAACAATCATGATACACTGTCTTTCAGCAAAGATCCTAGAAACTTGATCTTCATGTAGGAAAACTGTAGACGTGTCTACCACCTGAAGATGTCAGCTGGCAACACACCATAGCTAACTCTGGAAAAAGAACAAACATTAAGAAACATACAACTTGATAACCTGATGTGTTTGTTGGGTGAGTTTAAGTCTACTTTGTGCAGTACTTGTTCTGATATATCGTGTCCTGTTAGACCATGAGGGAGGAATGAGTGAGTGTATTTGGATTTAGTCAACGCAGTGCTGTCTTTAAGGTAGATCACTGTATGTCATACTGTGTGTTTGGACAGCCTGATTTGGTTGGTTGGTTTATTGTTTTATGCCGCACTCAGCAATATTCCAGCTATATGGCAGCTGCCTGTAAATAGTCTGGTCTGGACCAGATAATCCAGTGATCAACAGCATGAGCATGGATCTACGCAATTGGGATATGATGACGTGTGTCAACCAAGTCAGTGAGCCTGACCACCCTGAAGTGGTTACTGAAGATCAATTCTAACCTGGAACTTCACCAGTTTGGACAGCCTTGAGTGAAGCAGGTCTGGGGTGAGACTCAGGAGCACACATATGGTGATAACCAACCAAGAAACATTATTGGGGAGAACCTAAACCACTGGACCAATCTGGCACAGCTTGCCATATCAACAATACTGCACTCAAATATTGCACTCAAATATTGCATGCCATATCAGTCATATTGCACTTAAACACTGTATGTCACATCAGCAATATTGCACTTAAACACTGCATGTCACTCAGCAATATTGCACTGAAACACTGCATGCATCAGTGATATTGCACTAAAATACTACATGTCACCAGCAATATTGCACTGAAACACTGCATTGTCACCAGCAATATTGCACTGAAACACTGCATGTCACACCAGCAATATTGCACTGAAACACTGCATGTCATATCAGCAATATTGCACTGAAACACTGCATGTCACACCAGCAATATTGCACTGAAACACTGCATGTCACCAGCAATACTGCACTGAAACACTGCATGTCACATCAGCAATATTGCACTAAAATACTACATGTCACATCAGCAATACTGCACTTAAACACTGCATGTCACCAGCAATATTGCACTAAAATACTACATGTCACATCAGCAATATTGCACTGAAACACTGCATGTCACCAGCAATATTGCACTGAAACACTGCATGTCACACCAGCAATATTGCACTGAAACACTGCATGTCACCAGCAATATTGCACTGAAACACTGCATGTCACATCAGCAATATTGCACTGAAACACTGCATGTCACCAGCAATACTGCACTGAAACACTGCATGTCACATCAGCAATATTGCACTAAAATACTACATGTCACATCAGCAATACTGCACTTAAACACTGCATGTCACCAGCAATATTGCACTAAAATACTACATGTCACATCAGCAATATTGCACTGAAACACTGCATGTCACCAGCAATATTGCACTGAAACACTGCATGTCACACCAGCAATATTGCACTGAAACACTGCATGTCACCAGCAATATTGCACTGAAACACTGCATGTCACATCAGCAATATTGCACTAAAATACTACATGTCACATCAGCAATACTGCACTTAAACACTGCATGTCACATCAGTAATACTGCACTTAAACACTGCATGTCACCAGCAATATTGCACTGAAACACTGCATGTCACACCAGCAATATTGCACTGAAACACTGCATGTCACCAGCAATATTGCACTGAAACACTGCATGTCACACCAGCAATATTGCACTGAAACACTGCATGTCACCAGCAATATTGCACTGAAACACTGCATGTCATATCAGTAATATTGCACTGAAACACTGCATGTCATATCAGTAATATTGCACTGAAACACTGCATGTACATCAGTAACATTGCACTGAAACACTGCATGTACATCAGTAACATTGCACTGAAACACTGCATGTCACATCAGCAATATTGCACTGAAACACTGCATGTCACACCAGCAATATTGCACTGAAACACTGCATGTCACATCAGTAATATTGCACTGAAACACTGCATGTCACCAGCAATATTGCACTGAAACACTGCATGTCACATCAGCAATATTGCACTGAAACACTGCATGTCACCAGCAATATTGCACTGAAACACTGCATGTCATATCAGGTAATATTGCACTGAAACACTGCATGTCACACCAGCAATATTGCACTGAAACACTGCATGTCACCAGCAATATTGCACTTAAACACTGCATGTCATATCAGTAATATTGCACTGAGACACTGCATGTACACCAGCAATATTGCACTGAAACACTGCATGTCACCAGCAATATTGCACTGAAACACTGCATGTCATATCAGGTAATATTGCACTGAAACACTGCATGTCACCAGCAATATTGCACTGAAACACTGCATGTCATATCAGGTAATATTGCACTGAAACACTGCATGTCACATCAGCAATATTGCACTGAAACACTGCATGTCATATCAGTAATATTGCACTGAAACACTGCATGTCACCAGCAATATTGCACTGAAACACTGCATGTCACATCAGTAATATTGCACTGAAACACTGCATGTCACATCAGCAATATTGCACTGAAACACTGCATGTCACCAGCAATACTGCACCGAAACACTGCATGTCATATCAGGTAATATTGCACTGAAACACTGCATGTCATATCAGCAATATTGCACTGAAACACTGCATGTCATATCAGTAATATTGCACTGAAACACTGCATGTCACCAGCAATATTGCACTGAAACACTGCATGTCACATCAGTAATATGTAATATTGCACTGAAACACTGCATGTCACCAGCAATATTGCACTGAAACACTGCATGTCATATCAGTAATATTGCACTGAAACACTGCATGTCACATCAGTAATATTGCACTGAAACACTGCATGTCACCAGCAATATTGCACTGAAACACTGCATGTCATATCAGCAATATTGCACTGAAACACTGCATGTCACCAGCAATATTGCACTGAAACACTGCATGTCATATCAGTAATATTGCACTGAAACACTGCATGTCATATCAGTAATATTGCACTGAAACACTGCATGTACATCAGTAATATTGCACTGAAACACTGCATGTACATCAGTAACATTGCACTAAAACACTGCATGTCATATCAGTAATATTGCACTGAAACACTGCATGTCACATCAGTAATATTGCACTGAAACACTGCATGTCATATCAGTAATATTGCACTGAAACACTGCATGTCATATCAGTAATATTGCACTGAAACACTGCATGTCATATCAGCAATATTGCACTGAAACACTGCATGTCACATCAGCAATATTGCACTGAAACACTGCATGTCATATCAGCAATATTGCACTGAAACACTGCATGTCATATCAGTCATATTGCACTGAAACACTGCATGTCATATCAGTAATATTGCACTGAAACACTGCATGTCACCAGCAATATTGCACTGAAACACTGCATGTCATATCAGTAATATTGCACTGAAACACTGCATGTACATCAGTAATATTGCACTGAAACACTGCATGTCATATCAGTAATATTGCACTGAAACACTGCATGTCACCAGCAATATTGCACTGAAACACTGCATGTCACATCAGCAATATTGCACTGAAACACTGCATGTCATATCAGTAATATTGCACTGAGACACTGCATGTCACCAGCAATATTGCACTGAAACACTGCATGTCATATCAGTAATATTGCACTGAAACACTGCATGCCATATCAGTAATATTGCACTGAAACACTGCATGTCACATCAGCAATATTGCACTGAAACACTGCATGTCACCAGCAATATTGCACTGAAACACTGCATGTCATATCAGGTAATATTGCACTGAAACACTGCATGTCATATCAGCAATATTGCACTGAAACACTGCATGTCATATCAGGTAATATTGCACTGAAACACTGCATGTCATATCAGTAATATTGCACTGAAACACTGCATGTCATATCAGTAATATTGCACTGAAACACTGCATGTCATATCAGGTAATATTGCACTGAAACACTGCATGTCATATCAGTAATATTGCACTGAAACACTGCATGTCATATCAGTAATATTGCACTGAAACACTGCATGTCATATCAGTAATATTGCACTGAAACACTGCATGTCACATCAGTAATATTGCACTGAAACACTGCATGTCACCAGCAATATTGCACTGAAACACTGCATGTCATATCAGTAATATTGCACTGAAACACTGCGTGTCACCAGCAATATTCATTGAAACACTGCATGTCATATCAGCTCCAGTGGTTGATGCTGTTATCTGCAACCTCTGTTTAGCCAATGAACACTGATCCCCTCTGTAACCTCACCTTCAAGATGTCCTGCTGGTTGACCTGAGCATATACCCATGTATACAATGGCCTGTATTCTTTTTTCAATAATTCATACTTGAGCGAATTAAGTCCATCCTTTTGTACCCTCTTGGATGCAGCATATAAAAGTTTAAACCTGAAACAAGACAATCACTTGTTGTCCACTACAATCGATCACAGTATATCGCTCACAGTATATCCCTCATGGCCATCATGGCAACATCAACTCCTGGTTGATCCAGGTCAGAATTGAACATATTAACTATAAATTATATATCTGTAACACTTATCTTATCTCACATTATGTACTTTCTGTTGTTCTTCGACTGTGGAGTGGAAAACAACTTGACACAAAGGTTTTCAGACTCTTAATCACCTCATCCGAATATACCTCATCTCTCTCATTTATCTAGGTAGGCATAGATAGCTGATGCAACGCATTCAGTAAACCCTAGCTGACATTGGAGCTGGAACTATCCGTAAATCTTCTACAGCAGTAGAAGGCTCACTTGTGATGAATTGCTCATATAAAAAAACAACACTTAGCGGTACTCAACACAAACTCCCAGAGTGAGGGCAGACCCGAGTTATGTGATTTCCGCCAAAAGAAGAAGAAAACCAAGTTAATTCACAAATCCACAGGTTTTATTCTAGAAGTACAGGAAGTACAGATGAGGTCAAACATCGTAAATTGACCATTAAGTCCCAAGCTGGTGGACAAAACTTCTCTGATTTGTCTGCCAGTCTATAAGAACGTAAAAGGGACTGGAGTTCCAGGATCATGGAAATCTTGTTTCCCATCGCAAAAGATAAAACCATGAGGGATGTGGATAAAGTGGAATTTATTCGAAATATAGAGGTGTTGAAAGAATTTGGCAATTGTTTGCATCGAGAACAGTAGTCTGGGAAGTAATGTGTCTGACAGTAGGCCTCAAAACTCTGCCATTTGTCATAATCCAAAGGGTGAGTAGAGGATTTCTGTAAATGTGCCAAACATGAAGACAGAGAGTCTATGATGACCAATGCAGACACTAGGAGTGAGGATGCTGTTAGTTGAAAGAAGATGGGCTTGAGAGGTAGCGTTATGGTGTGGATATCCATCTCTGTCATGATAAAGGACGTAGATATTTCAGGAGCAGAAGAACTCTTCATTAGTTGGAGTTGATCAACAATCCAAAGGACCATAGAAGAAGAATCGACGTTCTCAATACTGGCCACAGAAGTAGAAATGTCTTCACCATGGTAATCTGGACAGCATGGGGGAAGAGGTGAGGGCTAGGAACACAATAAGATCTGCTGTGCCTTCTTGACAACTAAAGACATCGCTTGTACAATGACTTGGAAATCCAAAGGCTGGAGTTGGGCCTGAGGCTCCTGTGAGTGGTGATGCCAGCTTCAAGGAATTGTAGGTTGATTATGTGATCCTGAAGATGAAACCTGGAGCGATGAAGAAGCAGTAAATGCTGCTTGTGAAATGGAATGATGTAGACCTTGGACGGATAGATGAACCGGAAGCCAAGTATACGGAAAGGAAGGTTGACTTTGCAGTGACAACTGCTGTTAGCACAGGAAACAATAAGACCTGGAGAAAACGGAAGGATCCATGAAGAGATCGGCAATAGCGTAGGGGGTCAGGGGTTGAAACCAGAGACTTGAATAAACATTGTAAATTTCAGCTAAAGCACATCATAAGCCATAATAGGAGAACAATGCCCCTTCCTTGTTGTGCGTCTCAATTTCCTGCATGAGGATGGGCCAAATTCTTTACTTCCTTTATCTTAAGAACGACAGGAAGTCGCCCTCTTGTAAATGGAGACATCTTCATCAGTAAGGTGTTGACAAGTGGATTGATTCCAGGAGCAAACACAGATGCAGTCAACACATGTAGGATTGGGATTAAAAAAAGAAAACATCTACCCCATAGTTGTAGTTCATACAGGATATCACCACTCCAAGGCGTGTGGTCCTGTGCACAGAGCTCAGGTCACAAATCAGTTGAAGTTAAGCAACATCAAGCCTGGAGAGTCCTTGGATGGGTGAATGTGTTTGGCAGCTTGACTCCTGAGAGTTTCTAAGACTTCAATCCTGCCCCACAACGAAGCACATGTGATACATGTGGTCTCACCTTAGGCAAGTGAGTTTGTTCAAAATTGCCTCTGTTCACTCAGCAGAAAATGGGTACCTGGTGGGATAAGTCATGTGACTGTAACCTTCTAGCGCCTAACAGGCAGCTTGGGTTATCCGGGGTAATAATGTGCTGTGCCTTGATTGTTAGCACTATGAGCATACCTAGTGTGGAGTTTGGCGTTATATAAATAATGGCTACATTATTATTATTATTATTTAACAAAAACGAGAATGAAGATAGCTGAAAGTCATGTGGTCCGCTGGGGTGTAATGCATGTGTTGCATGAACCCAGCTCAATAAGTAAGATGGGTTCGGTTTAGGTAAGATGAAAACCTTCCATGGTTCTTGTGACATTCTACCCGAACGGTCTTTAAACAAGAGTTTTCCACCCACAGTCATAAGTGAGATAGGATAAAAGAGAATACTAAGCATAAAGACATTTTTCAAAAGCTTAAAGGTATTCTAAAAGACGCCTTCCATGATTAAAGTTGAACAGTAAGTTTGAAAATCGCAATAACCACATAAACAAGAGTCATCAGAAGATGACATATCCCCCCGGCCCACACATATTTGAAAGAACAAATCATCTGACAGTTACTTAAAGTCCAGCTTGACTTTTTTTTAAACTAAGTCCAAATCATTTCAATGGAAATCATGAGAAATATAAATGCCAAAAATCTGTAAATAGCAAAAGGCACCATTTCAACATTTGCCTAATATATCTGCCAAGTTCTGTTGAAAGATACTGAACGCTTTTCGAGTTGTGCATCGGAAATGAAGCCCACCCCTCCCTTTTGGGACTAAGTCTGAATCGTTTCCATGGAAACCGAGAAAATAATAAATCACAAAAACCTGCAAATAGCAAAAGGCACTACTTTGGGATCTGCCTCACATATCTGTCAAGTTTTGCTGAAAGATATTAAGAAGTTTTTGAGTTGTGCTCCGGAAACGGAACCCGCCCCTCCCTTTTGGGACTAAGTCCGAATCGTTTCCATGGAAACCGGGAATAATAAAAATGCCAAAAATCTGCAAATAGCAAAAGGCACCACTTAAGGATCTGTTTGATATATCTACCAAGTTTTGTTGAAAAATATTGTACGTTTTTTTAGTTATGCTCTCGAAACGAAGCCCACCCCACTTTAAGACTAAGTCCAAAACATTTCCATGGAAACCGAGAAAAATAAAAATGACAAAAATCTGTAAATACCAAAAGGCACCACCTTAGGTTCTGTTTGATATTTCTACCAATTTTGTTGAAAACAACACGTTTAAATGATTGACAATGATGAATAAGAGTGTTTTCTAAGATGAGCTGGACAATAAAGGTATAGTTTTTGATGACGTAACAATTGAATGACGTTATCCCGTCCACTCGCCATTCTAGTGTGCCCCTCGCAATTGAATTATTTTACATTACGTCACAACTATATCAGTTGTCCCCGCATTACAAAGTAGTTCCCTTTCAAACTTCAACATTACGTTTTTTATTATGTGCACACTGACTAAATATGACAATGATGAATAAGTTATAGTGGTTATAGCTAACAGAGAAGATATTTAATGGACCGGAATTATCATGAAACCGCAGACCTCTAGTTATCAGAAATGGCATTTGTTTTCTGCTGCAAATGATAATGGCCAGGTGATTCCTCAACTATGGGCCACTATCTGTTCTGTTGTCAAATGACGTTTGAACTTACAATTAAATTTATGATACTGTTTTTTTTAACACAAATTCCATCCATTTTAGAGGGATAGAAGAGTTAAACTGACCTAGAGCTTCTGCAAATGACAATGCCCTGAAAAACAGCGTTACCCCAATAGTGTAGGGATACATTCAAAGGTTTTGGTGAATAGGTTTTCAAATTGTGACCATATATGCTGATTATTCAGTCGGAAATTTATAGCATTGACCAATCAGAACTCGTGTTACATACTTAGTTGAATTAGAATAGAAATTAAATCGTCTTCTACTAAAATTGCACTGTTGCAAGGGATTAATTCATTGAAAAAATTAGTATCCTAGTTCTCATAAATAAATTAGATAAGAGATAACATAAGCAACGCAGATAATTTATGACCCGAAAACTGGCGAATAATAAAATACTAGTCAGAACAATGTATATATCCCTACTTTTAGCTTATGGAAATAGTCATGGTGCTAGGTTATAATCTTAGAATGACATCAAGTCCGCCAATGAGAATACACGACAACTTTAAAGGTACATTTCAAGGTAATTCGACAAAACAGAAACAATGAATGAAACATGTCATTCATCATTTGCTGTTCTATTTATAGATAACATTTTTTTCCGGGTGGACTGCAGTATTTGGGGCTCCAAACCAGAACGAATGTTACTGTGAAACATTTTCAAGCTCATGTGAAATCTCTTACTTATTTTGATAATATATATTTCATCACAATTGGACTTCATTTAATCAATGTTAAAAAATACCATTGACACTAAGTTGTAACATGGAATGATGTGGTGTAAATGAATCTCGTGGATACTGCTTCCTTTTTCAGTCTAGCTTTTGGATTTTCAAGGCAAAATGGGTCTCTTTTATATGCATCCGACTTGAAATGATCAGGACACTGGACTGCATTCTTGCTTAACTTCCAGTTTTTCTCCCCACGTTGACACCTATGAATCCAAACCTTTCTCCTGCCTGTCTTTCTACTTGGAAAACAGAAGAAATAGTGGCTCTTTACGAAACTGACAGTAAAAGTATTATTTGTTTAACTGTAGCACTTGGTCTTAGGCTATATGGCTGACTTTAGTCTCATATGACATCACCAGCGAAAAGGTCAAGCGAAGTTCAGATAACAGAAACTGTTTTCGTGATGAAAAGATAAATAAAAATAGTTTTGCAACAATAATTGGGGTACATGTTTCTGGTGGCTTTATCTTTAACCCAGACGGTTACTGCAATTTTCTAGTATTCTCCTTTACAACTATTTACACGTCATCTTGTGCAAATCAACACAAACATCAGCACTCACCTTTGTTTATTCACTTCATTTGATTTGTCCCTGCCATGTTTTATCATCTTATATCGAGCTAATTCTATTGGTGCTCGACTTAACTTTAAACCACTCAGCTGTATTCTGAAAAAGAAAAGAGACTATAAATATATATATAAATATGACCAAAGCAGTATGACCAGTCAATCTAACTGTTGCATGTGTGGGTAGATGAGCCAATCAGATGTCAGCTTTCGTAATGATTTGGTTTCATTTCTTTGCCAAATTAGGAAAGGAAAAGGGCCAGAGAACAGAACAACAGCCTCTAAATTCCAACCTTTTAACAGACTGTATAAAATATCCTGATTATGAGTGAGTGGTGTGGTTTAGCAATATTCCAGCAATATTGAGGTGGGGGACACCAAAATGGGTTTCACACATATTACCCATGTGGGAATCGAACACGTGTCTTCAGCATGACGAGCAGATGCTTTAACCACTAGGCTACCCCAACGCCCCCAACTTGATTATGAATTTGTTATGTTTCTATGCTTGCAATCCTATTTATTTTAATTTGCGGGATACGCATATCAGACATGTTTGTGTGGACAGTGCTAAGAGATGGGCAGCGGCTACAAGAATGAAGACGTGCCTCTGAAGATGTTCCATGATCAGGAAGACTTTCAATAGCCACCATTAAGGAAAATGTTAATGAAGTAGCTATGATTATGGATGAGCAGTATATGGTCTCTGGGATGAGTGAGTCCCGCACGATCACCTTATGGGAGAGTTGAGAACATTCTTTGGAATGAACTTATTTTTGCATGACAAAGGTTTTAGCTAATGGGTTGGAAGGCTTCAGAACCTTGATCATGTTGATCAGTAATTCTCAGGGTTCGTTATAGCTCGTGAGAAATCTTGTTCAGTTGAGCGGTTTGTAATGATGAATGATGCAGCACAATAAGGCATAGACTAAAACCAGTGACAACATCTCCTCCACAGGAGACTATAACTGTCCAGTATCATGCAGGCAACAGTATTTCAAGGCTAAACAATATGGCCACATGTTATACTTGGGATTACACTTTCTCAGTTTAGTGCAGATTCTGGTACTTTTATTGGGTTGAGTCCCATTTGGGATTCGATCCCCCACCCTCAGAGTCAGGCACCTAATCACCAGCACATAAAGTCAGCCTTCTAACCCACTCGGCTACAGTGGCTTGTGGATTCAACTAAATAAAAGTCCTAGAACAGGGGCGGATACAGCTTTTTGAGAAAGGGGGGGTGAACACTATTGAGAAAAGGAGGGGTGCACACTCAATTTTCAATGGTCATTTAACAAACTTTCAGCACAAAAGGGGTGCGCACCCCTGCACCCCCCCTCTGGATCTGCCTATGCTAGAATCTGTACTTAACTAAAAAAGATTCATGCAGGTGTGATGTTCACCAGGTGTGATGTTCACCAGGGTACAGTTAGGACCTGAAGATCACTATCCTAGATTAAATTTATATACACACTGAATCTTAAATTTAACCCTGGGTTCCTATAGTTCAGTTGAATCTGCTGTTGTCAGAGGCTGTGCATTTGAAAAGCACTGCACACCCAACAAATGGAATCACAGACAAGGGGAGTAACTCTGTATGGCATACGTTGTATTTGGAAAATATTGGTGCAGTATAACACTGCCACCTCTGTATAACATTCAGGAAATATGATCTTCTTTGTGAATATTCTCAAATCAGCATGATTATGCACACATATATGAACTACCCTGCAAACAGACTGATATTGGCCCAATGTTGTTTGACTGTCCGCTGAACACACGTCACGGTTGGTTTGCTGATATATTGGGCCAACATCCTGCAATCAGTGTTTATGAACTTCAATCATTTTTAAAACATAAATTTTCTTTACAAGTGTTTTTAAAAATAATAACCCATCAAAATAAATTGATAAATTACAACACTCTTTACATCCAGGTAAAAGACATCAATGAAAAAATAGCTAGGCTAAGAGCTGACAAACCAGTGCAGTAAGGACAAACCTCACAATTAGGTGGGGTGATTTAGAGATTTTACATGCACTTCCAACACAAGGCATAGTTCGCACATGGTTTCCTATTTGGTGTGTGTTCATCAAGGAGTTGGAAAAGTTGGTTATGGACAAAAAGAGTTAATAGAATCTACGACTGGCAAATTACTGGATGACTTCCCGGTAAAAGACATGATAGCTAGGCTATTAAGACTAAAAGCTGACTTGCCAAGCCAATGCGGTAAGCCTCCCTGCTCTGCGTACATCACGAAAATTAGGGGTCAGCTGTGGACAACAGAAGGGTTTAATAATATTTGGGAATGGCAACCCACTGGACGATGTTCTGGTAAATGACAGCAACAGAATGATATCTTGGCTAGTCTAAAAACTGACTTACCAAGCCAAACTGTGAGCACGATGAGATTTCCCTTCTTGAGAAGAAACTACTGCACATTATGTCCGACTTCGGTGAAGAGATAAAGTTTCTACTTCTCGGAGATTTTAATGCTAGAACTGCTGAAGATTCAGACTGTATTATAAATGATGATATTGACTATTTGCCTCTGCATGATGACTACAACTCAGACCATTTTGATATGCAAAGAATGTCATGTGACAAGCAAACCAATAATTATGGCAGGAGTCTTGTGCAAAGTTTTCAACCTCCATATTGTAAATGGAAGGAAGCAGGGAGATATGCTTGGCCACTTTACTTTCATTTCAACAGCAGGTGCCAGCGTTGTTGATTATCTCACAGTATCCAGTGAACTGTTTTCCAGTATAAGTGACATGAGTGTAATGCAGAGGACAGAATCGGACCATCTGCCAATATCGTGTCATTTCAATCACGCCACCATTCCGGATCCTCCTCAGAATGTGCCACATATACCGTTGTTTAAGATACCAAGATACTCCTACAGTAATGAAGATGCACAACATTTACATACCATGTACTGTAGTGACAAAATCAGGGGTATAGTAGCAGAATTTCTGGAATATTTGGACATTGATGTCGAGCATGCTGTTGGTAAACTTTCTGATATTGTTGCTGCCACTCGACAACTTTAACCCGGCTCTTTGAAGTTTCATCAACGACTCCAGCAACCACCCTGGTTTGATGAAGATTGCGAACACTTAAAATCTGAGAAATACAGACACCTTCATAAGTTGAGGAATTTCAGATGTGACAAAAATCAGAGCTACTTTATGGATGCAAAAAAATCTTTCAAAGAATGTTGCAAATTTAAGAAAACACAGTACAACAGGAAAATGGCAGATGAAATTAATGCTGCAGCTGCAGCTGGAAACTGTAAAGAATTTTGGAAACAAATTAAGAACCAATTCCGTACGAACCACGTTTCTTCAATTGCAGCATGTGAATGGCAAGATTATTTTAGGAACTTATTAAATCCTGTACTGATTAACATAAACACTGATTTTGATGAACATGTCAAGGAATTCTTGGAAAACTGAGGATGAAATTACAACGGCAATATTGGACCTCAAAAGTGGAAAGGAGCCAGGCATTGATGGGCTTACGTCAGAACTCTTCAAATTACCATCAGGTTTCCAAACTCCGTATCTAAAGCTGCTATTTAACAAAATATTGGATGAAGGTATGTTCCTGAAACAATGGAATATTGGAATAATCTTAGCACTCTACAAATCGGGTGACAAGAAGGAGCCTACCAATTACAAAGGCATATCATTATTAAATGTTATGGGGAAGATTTTTATGACAATAATTGAAAAACGACTTAGATTATGGATTGATTTCAACAATTTACTCTCTGAGAGCCAAGCTGGATTCCGTCCACAATATTCCACGATAGACCATATCATAGTTACAGGCACTGTGCTCTAAGTATCTAAATAGAGCGATTCTACTGCGGATATATCGACTTCACAAAAGCCTTCGACTATGTGGATAGGAATAAATTGTGGATGCCACGGCAAGTAACTTGTGCTACTGAAGAGTATGTATACGTCAGTGCAAGCATGTGTTAGAGTGCACAACCAGAGAAGCATTTGATACTTTGCATGGGGTTAGACAAGGATGTATCCTTAGTCCGGTACTATTTCTCCTGTTCATCAATGAACTTGCAACTGAATTATATAAGTCATGTAATCATGGGATATTCGTCACTCCAGAAATACAGGATTTTCTCCTCCTTATGTTTGCTGACGACATCGTTCTATTCTCAAGCAGCGTCATTGCTGTTCAACGTCAATTTAATGTCCTAGAACAATTCTGTGCCAAATGGGGACTGGAAGTGAATCTGAATAAATCTAATATCGTTGTGTTTCGCAACGGAGGAATCCTCACCCAGTTTGAAAAATGGACGTATCGCAAACTGCCAATAAAAGTTGTAACATATTATAAATACCTCGGGATAGTGTTTTCTTCAAGACTTATTTGGACAAAAGCATGTGAAACACTTGTACAACAAGCGAACTAAGCTTGTCTGTCTGTGTTCAGACTATTTAATAAAAATAAAGAATTGACTTATTTCACCGCTTCAACCATATTTGATAGGAAAATAGTACCGATACTTCTGTACGGATTGGAAATATGGGGCTTCAGATACACAGAGGTCACTGAACGGATCCAAACAATGTATTTCAAAAGGTTCCTAAAACTTGGATAATGTGTGTCAAACAAGGCCATCCTTGGTGAACTAAGACGTCTTCCTATGATTGTGCTCACACAGGCCAAAGTAATAAAATTCTGGTTTAAATTACTGCATATGGAGAATAATTGTTACCCTTTACAATCATATAAGATGCTTAAATCTTTCGACGATATGGGCAAGAGCAACTGGGTGTCAAATGTAAGAACCATTCTTTTCCCAAACCGGCTTTTCACACGTATGGTTCAACCAAGGAGTTGACAATGTAAAGTTATTCATGTTTATCTTCCAACGACTTACAGATATAGGACACCAAAGCTGGCGCAACAATATCAATACATCAAAACATCTAAATCAATACTCACAGTTCAAATATGATCTCCAACTGGAACCTTACATCACAGAACTAAAAAGTAAAGATCTCATACGTGCTCTCTGCAAATTTCGGATTGCCCACAACAGTTTTAAAGCCAACATCTTTTGTCATCAGGATGTGCCTACTGAAGAGCTCTACTGTACATTCTGCAATTCCCCACAGGTTGAAGACGAAAAACATATTTTCTTTTCTTGTAAACAGTACCAACACTTCCGCGAAAAATATCTCATCCAACTTAGAAATGTATATAAGGGCCCACTCTCACTCCATAATATTTTAAGCTCTAAAATTCCACGTATTATATACATTACTGCTTTATTTATACACCAAATACTCTCTTGCAGGTATAAAGCTACAATGTAGTTAATGAGAATGACCACTGTCCATCTGTACCTTATATTATGTAACTGTATTATGGGCCATTAGGCCGACATTACAAAATAAACTCTGTCTGTCTGTCAGTCTGTCTGACTGACTTTAAGCACACACATCTATCAATTATAGAAGATAATGACGTCTGGGATTGTATACACATTGGACGACCACAAGGAGCTAAAACTGTAGACACTTCAACATCTTCAAATGTTACATCTCACAGGATGCGGATGTCAAAGGCTATGTTGGATTTCCAGAAACTACACACCATAATGTTTGTAGTACAGAATAGTACAGTTGTTGTGAAGGGCACCGGTGACTAGAGCTGCTCTGAAATGATGGCTCTGGGTAGATCAACGTTAAGGGTGATAATGGGCCAACATGATAGTTGGCCAATGTTAATGGTGATACTGGGACAACATTAAGGGTGATAGTGGGCCAACATTAAGGGTGACATTGGGCCAATGTTCAGGGTGATAGTGGGCCAATGTTAAGGGTGACATTTGGCCAATGTTAAGGGTGATAGTGGGCCAACGTTAAGGGTGGGTGCCAAGTGGGCCAATATTTAAGGGTGATAGTGGGCCAACGTTAAGGGTGATAGTGGGCCAACGTTAAGGGTGATAGTGGGCCAACGTTAAGGGTGATAGTGGGCCAACGTTAAGGGTGATAGTGGGCCAACGTTAAGGGTGATAGTGGGCCAACGTTAAGGGTGATAGTGGGCCAACGTTAAGGGTGATAGTGGGCCAAGTGGGTCACATTGGGCCAACATTAAGGGTGGTCAACAGTGGGCCAACATTAAGGGTGGGCCAACGTTAAGGGTGATAGTGGGTCAACATTGGGTGGGCCAACGTTAAAGGGTCACATTGGGCCAACATTAAGGGTGACAAGGGTGATAGTGGGCCAACATTAAGGGTGACATTGGGCCAACGTTAAGGGTGATAGTGGGCCAACGTTAAGGGTGATAGTGGGCCAACATTAAGGGTGACATTGGGCCAACATTAAGGGTGATAGTGGGTCAACATTAAGGGTCACATTGGGCCAACATTAAGGGTCACATTGGGCCAACGTTAAACGTGATAGTGCGCCAATGATAAGGGTGATAGTGGGTCAACATTAAGGGTAACATTGGGCCAACGTTAAGGGTGATAGTGGGTCAACATTAAGGGTCACATTGGGCCAACATTAAGGGTGACATTGGGCCAACGTTAAACGTGATAGTGCGCCAATGATAAGGGTGATAGTGGGCCAACGTTAAGGGTGATAGTGGGCCAACGTTAAGGGTCACATTGGGCCACCATTGATTCAAAGATCACTGTGTTTGCATGGTAGCACCGTTTAAGATTTTACATCCCCACAAGCTGTTATCCTGAACTGATCAATGCTCAACATACCTCTTCATCATGTCATCATCTTCTCCACCCCAGCCAAAGTATTTATTGGAGAATCCATTGACTTTTATCATGTGGTCTTTAGTCAAAGCTGACACACCTCCAAAGATCGCAGCATATGGCAATCTGTGGAAGTCAATAAACAATTTAATGATGATTCATAAGTACACACAGTAAAGGTGAGACACTGCTTGATTTCATTTTCGATTCTTTACAACCTGGAAATAAATTTAAAATAGAAAATTTTGTTTTTTAAGAGCATTATTTGCTACACACTTACAAGTATACTGCAAAAGGATTGTACATTCAACACTCTTCACATACTCCACACATGTAAACATGGTCAGATACTTTCTGAAGAAATTCTTGTATTTTGGTTGTCCTTTTTCTGTTTGTTCTTCACCAGCCAACCGAGGCAAGATGCTTCACAAAGGTATCAAAGGTCTGGGCCAAACATACCAAAGATCATAACTATAAAAATGAAGTAGTCTGTACATAGAAAGTTACATCATGTATCCCAAATGTGTATGTCAATAACCTTTCACTGATACATAGAATATATCACATGTTTCTAAACATTCTGTAGAAAATGGCAACTTTACACTGGAGTTTTCTTAGCTACGTGAAATGTGTCATCTATATATAAGTATCACAATACATAGTTTTACAACAACTCTTTATAAGTTACACACGTCAATTTTACAACTTTTTAAAAGTTCCAAAGAACATGTCAACATTTTTTCAACTTATTTGTAAAACATACAAAGAATATGTTTACAACAACTATTTGTCTCTTTATTTATGAAGTGTGGCACCACATTTCAGGTAAAGACTATAACAGACTAGCAAGGTGTTGTCGGACATGTTAATGATTAACTGTACAAAAGAATTACTGCTGACAGATCATATCACTGCTGCTGACATTCAGCCCGCAGATCACCCTAGTATTGACAATTTCAAGTTCATTATACACAATGTGCAAAACTCGTTGCTCACTGCAATGTCACATTATTCATGTAGCAGTTGAAATAGAACTGAATGGAAGGAACTGAATGGCCATTCTGAGCAAGTAAATCAGGCACACATATAGGACTTTATGTAAAAATATAAAGAAAATATATCTCAACCAATAGATGTTAGATGCGTCCAGCTTGGAAATCAAAGGTTTCATTCTTCACACAGACATTGACAAACACATTGACACAGACAAACTTAAAGGAGGTAAACAGTAAAAATCTTAAATCAAATCAGTCATAAAGCATTTAAAAAGAAATATAATGAAAAAGAATTTTATTTCTGAAGTCAACATTTGAAACCAAAAACATTTGAAAAATAATTGTGTTCCGGAAGCTACTGAGTGTTAAAGATCACATATACTCTAGGGGGTACAAATACATAAATCACTAACTGGCATCGCTATAAATGAAACCCCGTCATTAAACTACTCACTTCGGTCTTTAATTAACTTAAATCGACCTTTTTGACAACAGTGCACAATTCTCACCCACGAACGAAATTTCAACCAATCAGAGCGGGGCGTTTCTGTGATGTCATATGAGGAATAGATATGAAGGCCGATGCAGAATTCATCTACATTTCAGGGGGTAAATTATCTTGTTTACAGGTTTGTATAAACCTGAAATCGTGACAACTGTTGTGGAAAATGAAAGCTATATGTTCTCACAATCTACTGCCATTTAATTTTGCCTCCTGCTTTGCCTAGTTTCCGAGTTACAACTTGTTTTCATAGACGATTCTGTCAAAATCGCTTGGTGTCGTTAGGCCTTATTTGTATAATGACTGATCCAAATTGACCCTATTTCTGTGGCTTTTTACCTCTATATTTAATCATGTCATGTAAAAATCTGTTTGTCAAAATCGCTTGGTGTCGTTAGGCCTTATTTGTATAATGACTGATCCAAATTGATCCTATTTCTGTGTTTTTTTACCTCGATATTTAATCATGTCATGTAAAAATCTGTTTGTATTCTCAAAACAGTGACGGCCCATAAGTTTTCACATGCAATACAGCAATTAATACTCCCTTGTTGTAACCCGTGTTAGGTGGTATAAACCTACACATGTTACTTGTCATCATTCACTTGATGGTCAGTTAATGAATTTATAACAGGTATAATTAGTGGTAACACACTTAGATTACCCAAAAGGTTCCCATTTGGCATTTCTTGTGTCTGGAGTAAATATTCAACATTATAAACATCGATCAAAGGATTAACCGATAACACGCTGCTTGATTAATTACTTTTATCTTACACAGCGGATTTGTCAAAAGGTAGTGTTTATGTATGTAGATTTACTAATCTATACTGAATACACTCTGTCGTGTCGGTGTCTGTGTAAAAACAACGTCCTTCTTTCAAAGGAATAACCGGCAATACATTGATTGATTGCCCATTATTGGCTAACTAAATTACTCTTTTTAAAGAAAGGCGGACATTATGCAATTAGTTGCCAGGTGTGCTATCTTGGGTGACCAATGAGACTATACACCAATGTGAAATACCTGAAAAGATGTATCACTTTTTCGTATATTAAACTGTTAAAAGGCACATCACTTGGAACAGCTGCAGATGAATGGCATATCACTCGTTTTTGTGGATATTGAAGGATACATTCCTCGAACAAGGTAATAGCCTGACATTGTTCCTATAACTTTAATCTCTTTTAATTTTTATATTTGTTTTTTGTTTTTATTCATTTGTCGTAGCATTAAACAGAATCATTGTTTTCGCCGTGAAGTGTAATGAGACAGACAACATACACTAGGGTGTGTGTGCGAAATATGATTCACATTGGCAAACTATAAAATGTCTAGATATTACAGTTCTGTTATAAATTCACTATAAGTATCAGCAGATCGTCTGCTTTTTATTTAGTTTCAAAATGCATACAAGTATGATAATAAACTAATTAGGATTATAAGACCAAATATAAAGACGCACATTGACTAGTATCTACATACTGGTGAGTGGACATTAACCATGTGAATGTAGCAAGAAATTTATCGCGCAGTATTGTGACTTCGACCCCCACCTCGCTTTCGAGGAAGAAATCGTTATGTTATAAGTTGTGTCATGCAAAATCCTTTTGGTCATGATTCCAATACATATTTAACTACGAGTAGAAAGTATTTTTGATTTTCTAACTTGATGAAAACAAACCATAACCTCATTAATTCTAACAGACTTTAGCCCGTCACTTTTCGATTTTCAAAAATGGCGGCGCCCTGTCGCGAACATCCGCCAGTCTGAGGATAAATGCTATTTAGGTTTGTTTTCACTGAGTTACAAAATCAAAACTACTTTCTACTGGTAGTAAAAAATGTATTTGATTGATGGCCAATAGGATTTTGCATGACATAGCTTATAACATAACAATTTCTCTCATGGCAGCGAGGTGGGTGTCAATATAATACTACTTACAATATTATTGTTACTTCGACCACAACCTCGCTTCCGAGGAAGAAATCGTTATGTTACAAGTTGTGTCATGGAAAATCTTTATGGTCATCAATCATATACATATTTTACTACAACTAGTAAGTAGTTTTGATTCTTTAACTTCTGTGAAGCGATCTGAACACAAGTAAGATATCGTTTCAGGCTTCCACAACGGTCGCTTTGCACTCACAAACATAACCCAGTTAGCACAAACTGCGGGGTCCTGTGGAAATCTGTGCATGGTGACACCATCGCCCGACCCCTAGGAGCAATTGACGACAAAGCAACGATTCGGCATGTCGTCGTTGATGTCGAGAGAAATCATCAAAATGATGAGCGTGCAACACACTTTCTATACAATTAACTGAAAATCGTTCCTCATATGACGTCACTGCAGTGCTCTGGCGACAGAGTTACGTAACCTGTCTGTGGTTTCGTTGGCGGGCGAGAGTGAAGCAGGCGACTTTTTGGCAACTTTTAATCGCTCGGTATTAATTAACCACAAGTTTTTTAAGAATGAATTTGGTGTTCGGCATAAGTCAAACCACAAATCTTTCATATGTAATAGTTAAAAGAGTACAAAAAAACAAAGTTTATTTGTTCTTTAATGAGCAGAGTTTGGCATCACGTGACATGGCGCCGTAGTAGAGAGTTGTCTCACTGCTTCAGTACAGTGTTTAGTAGATAATTAGCGTTCGCCATGCCATCACCAGACAATAACACCAGTATAAATATTGAACTTCCACATAATGACTTTACACATTATCAGCTGTAAATAGGTTTTGACAGCAGAACAGAAAGCGACGTAGATCTATCAAGTCAAGACGATCAATTAAGATGTCAAAACGGAAAGATACAAATTTGTAATTTGCAACGTATACCATTCATTTATGACTTCAATACTTTATTTAGTTAACATGTTATACTTTTGTTATTTACTTAAAAACACAAATAATCTCGGATGAAAATCATGAAATGATTGGGAGATTTCTTCACACGTGCAGTTATGTTTTAGGTGTGTTGTAGAGGGGGTGTACCTATGGCTACATAGAAAATAGTTCACAAATCTGTTTATTACTATTTATGCTATATCTGAAATTTCTTCCTTGCTAAATTGATCTCTATGCTTTGATTTTTAAGAATGACACTTGCTACCTTTTTCGATGGACTGGGACTCCCTTACGAAAAAAATATATCACCTCAAATCTACCACACACTGAGAATAACGGAAAATTCACTCCAGTGTTGTGTAGATGAATGCACTGTAAACAAAGGGCAGGCGGTTCAAACTTGTGTCGTCCTAGCCCAAGTTGTGCCAAGGCTGGGATTATGATATGAATACATGCAGGTTGTTGAATTACATCAGCTGTTTGGTGCTTTTTAGATAACAATAAAATCACTTATGAATTTTTCTGGAGTGTAAGCAAGTTTACATTCTTTACCTTTTCAACATATGTTAAGAAGTTTATCTTCAATATATCTCCTTTAAATATAAAGTTTCACAATCACCATGGTAAGCAAGTTTTGCACCAAATTGAAATATTTATCAAATATCTTCAGTGTCGTCAGCTACACTGCTACAAAGTTTCACTTTGGTTAATCTGCTTTCAGAATCATCAAATCATCAACTTTTCACATAAAACGTGACCAATATTAAACACTCACAAATCTGCCTAAGAACATATTTGAAATTTGATATTTTCTTTGAAAAACATTAAACTATGTCTGAATACTGACTTGTAATTAAACTTGTCAATGGCCACCGACATGTGTCGTGGGTTCTCCGGACAGGTGTACAAGTTCTTGTCATTCTCTGGTATGAGGTCCACATCATGGAAGATGAAACACTGGAAGTCGTAGTCCCTGACTGCTTCTGCGTAACCTATGTTCATCAGGAGGGCTCTGTTGAAGGTCGTGGGCATAGCCTATAACGAGTGAGTGAGTGAATATTGATTTATTTTGCATTTAGCACTATTACAGCAATCACACGGTGGAGGACACCCGAAATTGCCTTCCCAAACGGTAACCATGTAAGGAATCAACCCCAGAACTTAGGCATGATCAGTGAACACTTTAACCACAAGGCCATCCCAACACCTCTTGCCTGTAGATGTTGAGTGGGGGGTTCAATCGAACTATGACCACTACTGCAGTTGTACCATGGTGTCTCAGCTGCACCACCACAGCCTGCAGAGAGTCACGACATGGAATCAATTGTTTTCACGCAACACATTGCACTCATCAAGACGCTTAGGTGTGCCCTGTTCAATTTATCAAGCAAAACAACATTTCTCTATATGTATACATCAATATATTTATTCTTGACATCTGCGTTTTGTCACTGCCAAATTCTCTCGAAAGTGACCATTGGCAAAAAGGAAGTTAATCCCAGTAGGCTATGGTCTTTACCCTCATAAAATGACGCTTCTCAGTTGCATGATAAACTGCAGTTGTAGTTCAGCAAGGTTGCTAACTCCTTCTGTATCATGTTCATACATAAAATATTTCCTTTTTTATTTTCGTTGGTCTATAACTCGTGAAGCATTTTGTACAAGAGCTATATCTAATACATCTTTGCCTTGGGCATGGTAATCGATGTTTGTGAGTTGCCCTTATCACCACTTAGAGCACATTACACCACAGAATCTCACGATGAAGCCTTGGAATGTTGATAACTCAAGTGTTTCTGCGGGGCGTATGTAAATATTATCTACTGCTAAATTTGGCTGCTCATTTTCATTTCGCATCCATTATAGAATTTTATCTTTTCACTGAAGTTTAACATCCATTTAACATTATTTCACCAGTATATCTACCAGACACTTTCCAGACATACATACCCTGTCAAATTGTGAATACAGAGAACCAACCTGTCCAAAATCACATTACAGCCATGTACCCAGACAGTCAGAATACAGCCATGTACCCTGTCAAAGCCAGAATACAGCCATGTACCCAGACAGTCAGAATACAGACATGTACCCAGACAGTCAGAATACAGACATGTACCCAGACAGTCAGAATACAGCCATGTACCCAGACAGTCAGAATACAGCCATGTACCCTGACAAAGCCAGAATATAGACATGTACCCTGTCAAAGTCAGAATACAGACAGTCAAAGTAAAAACTGATAAAAATATTTTTGCCTAAGGGTGAAATTATCAGTCATCCTTTCAAACACTAGACAGTCAACCATGGTTATCTGAGATGTCTTGCCCCAAATCAGGCATTCACAAGATACCGTAACATCCACAGGCATACTTCACGCCTCGAGGGTAAGTACACATCTTCACTCAGGATGTCTTCAGACTTTACCGAGGAACATATAGTGCCTGCTGGTTACTGTGTCTGATGTCTTTACTGAGGCAGGTGAAGGCTGGTTACTGTCTCTGATGATGTCTTTACTGAGGCAGGTGAAGGCAGGCAGGATGAAGGCTGGTTACTGGTTACTGTGTCTGATGTCTTTACCGAGGCAGGTGAAGGCTGGTTACTGTGTCTGATGATGTCTTTACTGAGGCAGGTGAAGGCTGGTTACTGTGTCTGATAATGTCTTTAGGCAGGTGAAGGCTGGTTACTGTGTCTGATGATGTCTTTACTGAGGCAGGTGAAGGCTGGTTACTGTGTCTGATGTCTTTACTGAGGCAGGTGAAGGCTGGTTACTGTGTCTGATGTCTTTACTGAGGCAGGTGAAGGCTGGCTGATGTTGAGGCAGGTGAAGGCTGGTTACTGTGTCTGATGTCTTTGCTGTGTCCTGATGTGTCTGATTCTGTCTTTACTGAGGCAGGTGAAGGCTGGTTACTGTGTCTGATGTCTTTACCGAGGCAGGTGAAGGCTGGTTACTGTGTCTGATGTCTTTACGAGGCAGGTGAAGGCTGGTTACTGTGTCTGATGTCTCATAATGTCTTTACTGAGGCAGGTGAAGGCTGGTTACTGTGTCTGATGATGTCTTTACTGAGGCAGGTGAAGGCTGGTTACTGTGTGATGATGTCTTTACTGAGGCAGGTGAAGGCTGGTTACTGTGTCTGCTGATGTCTTTACTGAGGCAGGTGAAGGCTGGTTACTGTGTCTGATGTCTTTACCGAGGCAGGTGAAGGCTGGTTACTGTGTCTGATGTCTTTACTGAGGCAGGTGAAGGCTGGTTACTGTGTCTGATGTCTTTACTGAGGCAGGTGAAGGCTGGTTACTGTGTCTGATGATGTCTTTACTGAGGCAGGTGAAGTGCTGGTTACTAGGCAGGGCAGGTGTGGTTACTGTGTCATGATGTCTTTATGTCTTTACTGAGGCAGGTGAAGGCTGGTTACTGTGTCTGATGTCTTTACTGAGGCAGGTGAAGGCTGGTTACTGTCTGATAATGTCTTTACTGAGGCAATGTCTTTGATGTCTTTACTGAGGCAGGTGAAGGCTGGTTACTGTGTCTGATGATGTCTTTACTGAGGCAGGTGAAGGCTGGTTACTGTGTCTGATGATGTCTTTACTGAGGCAGGTGAAGGCTGGTTACTGTGTCTGATGATGTCTTTACTGAGGCAGGTGAAGGCTGGTTACTGTGTCTGTCTGATGTCTTTACTGAGGCAGGTGAAGGCTGGTTACTGTGTCTGATGATGTCTTTACTGAGGCAGGTGAAGGCTGGTTACTGTGTCTGATGTCTTTACTGAGGCAGGTGAAGGCTGGTTACTGTGTGTGATGATGTCTTTACTGAGGCAGGTGAAGGCTGGTTACTGTGTCTCATGATGTCTTTACTGAGGCAGGTGAAGGCTGGTTACTGTGTCTGATGATGTCTTTACTGAGGCAGGTGAAGGCTGGTTACTGTGTCTGATGATGTCTTTACAGGTGATGCATGTCTTTACTGAGGCAGGTGAAGGCTGGTTACTGTGTCTTTGTGATGATGTCTTTACTGAGGCAGGTACTGGTTACTGTGTCTGATGTCTTTACTGAGGCAGGTGAAGGCTGGTTACTGTGTCTGATGTCTTTACTGAGGCAGGTGAAGGCTGGTTACTGTGTGTGTCTTTACTGATGTCTTTACTGAGGCAGGTGAGGTGAGGCTGGTTACTGTGTCTCATAATGTCTTTACTGAGGCAGGTGAAGGCTGGTTACTGTGTCTGATGTCTTTACTAGGAGGCAGGTGAGGCTGGGCTGGTTACAGGTGTGTCTCATAATGATGATGTCTTACTGAGGCAGGTGAAGGCTGGTTACTGATGGCAGGTGTGAGGCTGGTTACTGTGTCTGATAATGTCTTTACTGAGGCAGGTGAAGGCTGGTTACTGATGTGAGGCAGGTGAAGGCTGATGTGATAATGTTACTGCAGAGGCAGGTGAAGGCAGGTGAAATGCTGGTTACTGTCTCTGATGTTGTGTTTTACTGAGGCAGGTGAAGGCTGGTTACTGTGTCTGATGATGTCTTTACTGAGGCAGGTGAAGGATGGTTACTGTGTCTCATAATGTCTTTACTGAGGCAGGTGAAGGCTGGTTACTGTCGATGTCTTTACTGAGGCAGGTGAAGGCTGGTTACTGTGTGCGATGATGTCTTTACTAAGGCAGGTGAAGGCTGGTTACTGTCTCTGATGATGTCTTTACTGAGGCAGGTGAAGGCTGGTTACTGTCTCTGATAATGTCTTTATTGAGGCAGGTGAAGGCTGGTTACTGTGTCTCATAATGTCTTTACTGAGATTTTTTTATATGGTACATCTGTGTATTCAGACTTTGGATATGGTACATCTGTGTATTCATACTCTGGATATGGTACATGTCTGTATTCAGACTTTGGATATGGTACATGTCTGTGTTCAGACTTTGGATATGGTACATGTCTGTGTTCAGACTTTGGATATGGTACATGTCTGTGTTCAGACTTTGGATATGGTAAAAGTCTGTGTTCTGTCTTTGACTACTGGCAAACAAGGATAAGTTCAGCAGCGACCTGACAACTGACACATATTAGCATGTATGAGTGCCACCCACTGGCGCTTGCCATTGTTAGCGAAGGGGACCCAGGTTGTTCAGCGATCAAGTGTAGTGCGACTTGCTACACAGACGTAAGAGTCTTATGAGCAAGGAGTGTGCAGCTAGACGTGGAATCAATTTCATCGTCATGCAATGCACGTGCATTAGCCCACATCTGCTCTACCTTTCACAAACCAAATGGGTTTGCTCATTGCCATGCACCGCCTACTTCTCGTAAATGCATTCTCTGCGCCGGTCAACTTATCCTTGTTTGCCAGTAGGCTCATGTCAGTATTCAAGGTTACCTGAACACTTTACCTGTCCACTGATTGAACAAAGAATATCTGAAAGGTCTGCTGAATTCATGAACAAGATGCTGAATTACCTATAGAGGTGTGACGATACAGAAATTTCACGATACGATACGTATCGCGATATCTTGGAACGATACGATTCGATTCGATGCATATCACGATATGCTTTCTTTAGTTATTTTCCTTAAAAAATATATGTTAATAGCAAGAAATTTTGACATAACTGTCAATATCTAATGAAAATTAACAATGTTAAGGTCAACGATACATATCACGATACGAAAAAACGTATCGATATATTTATCGTCAGATAAAGTATCACGATTATCGATACTACGATATATTGTCACAGCTCTAATTACCTACCAGTTCTGTGATATAGATTGCATAGTCCAGCTGCTGTCTCTCCAGAATCGGGTGTAGGTTGTTGAGCAGAATCTTCAGCTGATCTTCTCTGTTCCTGTAGGGCACAATGATAGCTACACGGTGTCGTGATTTACAATCTGGGGGCTTGTATCGGCCCCCGGCTTGAAGCTCTGGGTACTTCTTCTGCATCTCCTCAAAGGACAGAACTTCCTTGTATGTTGCCAGTGACCCCACTGAAATGTCCCGAAACAAATACTCAGATACTTACATAGATAAAACATACAAGAATTATGTAACATTTAATGATCATGTCAAGTTTTGCAACAATTTTGACAGTTTGCCCCAACTGAGCCTTCACCGTGAAACAGTGAAAAAATTGCATTTCTATCCACCAAAACTTAAACCCTAAAAGAGGAAGGTAAATGACACCTAACAAAATACCTTCAGGATAGGCAGCAACTATTTGGTAGTCACAAGGTAAGGAAAACAACACATTACAGTGATAGACATCACTGGACATATCTAGCTTATCCAATACCTTCACTGTTTGCACCAACTATTCGGTAGACACCAGGGCCCTGTTCATCAAAGCAATCGTAGCGCTACGACTGTCGTAAGTCTATGCTAAAGTATGGGAGTAACTATCGTCTAAGTGCTAAGATCACTTTGTGGAACAGGTTCCTGAGTGCCAGACATATCCAATTTGACCACAGCTCATTCCAGTCTTCAGGTGTAACTGAAATAACACCATTTGGTGGTCCTTCCTGACGTTCACAACTTTAAAACATCTAACTGTGCATAAACCAACAGAAAGTAATGACCTCCACAATAAGAGGCCACAACAGGTGCCCATGCCGCTGTCATATCTACTGCTAGTGTGTAGAGGCAACAGGATCTAGAGCTGACCGTTGCTCAGACATCAACCACTGGTTTGTCTGGCCCAGGGCCTAGATTTTCTAAGCTCTCTTAGAGCTAAGATAGTCGTAAGTTAATGCTAATGTATGGCTCTTACGACTATCTTAGTGCTAAGAGAGCTTCGAAAATCTAGGCCCAGATTTATAAGCAGCTTTTACATACTTGGAATACCGCTGATGACAGCAAAAACATAAAAATATCAGGCAGAATTGAAGACAAGGTGAAACCTCAGAAACGACCAGAAACACTTGTGTATTATTACTTAAGCATGAGGCAGATAGAAATCCTACAACACTCTGGCAGGGGTGGAAATAACCCATTGCCCGACGCCCGAGTCCAGTGTTTTTTTCTGTCGGGCAAGCATATTTGTATATCACACTGTACCGGTGTCCAGTTGACTTTCCAATGTTAATTATGTTGTTTATTTAAAAAATCAACAAGAAAATCGGCCAGTATTGTGGAAAAATTATCAGGGCATGTGATTTTACTTGTGCCACTGTACCCGAGTACACTAGCAATTTTAGAGTTATTTCCAGCTCTGTCTGGACCACCAGAATTAAATACTTTAAAAATACAGTTGAAAATTTACATATATTCCTTCCACCACTGGCCGTTTCAAAGCCAAAAAAATATGAAGATTACCTTTGTTCCTTAGCAATGCTTGATACTATTTATTAAAATCTAAATAATCTCAGTGAAGTTTACAAATTGCTTGTTTCAAATCAACTGTGGACACACTATTGAAATTTAACCATGTCGGAAGGAAAACTGTCATATTTCAGTGAAGAAAATTCATGATCAGGTATTATGCAATCTTGCCATTTACATTATAGTTCTATTACTATGGTGACAGAAAATACAGCATCATACTACCGGTACTTCCATGGTTAGCATGGTAGCAAAAGCAAAACACCATTTTGTACTGCGGGGATGCATTATCAATTGCCTAATGGCAACTTTTCCCATAAATAACATAAATGAATAAAATCAAAGCACCAGCTTTGTTAGTTTACAAACACAGTTTGTTAGTTTAGTAAATACATTTCTGGAACCTTCTTGTGGTGTAAAATAATAATGGCCAATTAGTTATCAAACTGTGTTATTTCAAACTCAGTAAACTCAAATAGATAGAGCAGTAAAACCAAGATCAATACATTGGTAGGTGTACATGGTAAATACAGTCTCGTAAAGCAGTGTTAGATGGTGACTACAGTATCACATTATCATGTGCATGTGGAGTACCACATCGTATCACCAGGTGTACATGGTAATACAGTATCATAAAGCAGTGTCAGATGGTGACTACAGTATCACATTATCATGTGTATGTTGAGTATCACATCGTATCACCAGGTGTACATGGTAATACAGTATCATAAAGCATCACAGTGTCAGATCACCAGTGACTACAGTATCACATTATCATGTGTACCTGTATGTGGAGTACCACATCGTATCACCAGGTGTACATGGTAATACAGTATCATAAAGCAGTGTCAGATGGTGACTACAGTATCACATTATCATGTGTATGTGGAGTATCACATCGTATCACCAGGTGTACATGGTAATACAGTATCATAAAGCAGTGTCAGATGGTGACTACAGTATCACATTATAATGTGTATGTGGAGTATCACATCGTATCACCAGGTGTACATGGTAATACAGTATCATAAAGCAGTGTCAGATGGTGACTACAGTATCACATTATCATGTGTATGTGGAGTATCACATCGTATCACCAGGTGTACATGGTAATACAGTATCATAAAGCAGTGTCAGATGGTGACTACAGTATCACATTATAATGTGTATGTGGAGTATCACATCATATCACCAGGTGTACATGGTAATACAGTATCATAAGCAGTGTCAGATGGTGACTACAGTATCACATTATCATGTGTATGTGGAGTATCACATCGTATCACCAGGTGTACATGGTAATACAGTATCATAAAGCAGTGTCAGATGGTGACTACAGTATCACATTATCATGTGTATGTGGAGTATCACATCGTATCACCAGGTGTACATGGTAATACAGTATCATAAAGCAGTGTCAGATGGTGACTACAGTATCACATTATCAGGTGTACATGGTCACAATACCAGGTGTACATGGTAAATAAGTATCAGTGTATGTATCACATTATCATGTGTATGTAGTACCACATCGTATCACCAGGTGTACATGGTAATACAGTATCATAAAGCAGTGTCAGATGGTGACTACAGTATCACATTATCATGTGTACATGTATGTGGAGTATCACATCGTATCACCAGGTGTACATGGTAATACAGTATCATAAAGCAGTGTCAGATGGTGACTACAGTATCACATTATCATGTGTACCTGTATGTGGAGTATCACATCGTATCACCAGGTGTACATGGTAAATACAGTATCACCAGGTGTATATACGTAATAGTGTCAGTATCACATTATAATGTGCATGTGGAGAATCATATCATATCAGTACATACAGTAGTGTCAGATGGTGACTACAGTATCACATTGTGGAGTCAGATGGTGACTACAGTATCACATTATCATGTGTATGTGGAGTATCACATCGTATCACCAGGTGTATATGGTAAATACAGTACCATAAAGCAGTGTCAGATGGTGACTACAGTATCACATTATAATGTGTATGTGGAGTATCACATCGTATCACCAGGTGTATATGGTAAATACAGTACCATAAGCAGTGTCAGATGGTGACTACAGTATCACAGTAAAAACCACAGCTCAGTAAAACTGCACAGATTAAGAACGTCTAAATCACTCTCAGAAAGTACTTCTCCCTGCCCTTAGTTTTTCTCTGTACAATTAAGATAAAAAGGCCATTGTGTATCTGTATCATTTTTAGCTTCAACACCAAAATCAAAATGAAGCATTACAGTCTTGATATTCAAGCTATGCAAATGGTGTTGTCAAATGAATACAAAATGGTTCTTAAATATTAAACAGCATGCAGTGTTCATTCCAGCCTGTCCTAGATGTAAGCCCATGGCCAACCAGCACTCAGTTATGTGAGTCATTTAGAAAATATTATGGATCATATCAAATTGCTGTGACTTGTCAGACATACCTCATTTAAGCCCAGCTGTGGCAAATAGACTTCATGTGCTGATAAATCACGCCAACAGGATAAAATTCTCAGGCGTTATAAATTTCATTTAAGTTTTCAACTCATAGAGACAGGTAAACCTTGTTTTCCATGGCCATATTAATGGAGTGACATAAAATCGCGCTATTACTTAGAGCAGCATAAAGGAAGTGAACAAAAGCCCACAATTACACACCCTCTGTCTGACAGAGGTCAAGTCTGAGACATGGCCAGTTCCATAATGCTTGCCAACTGAGATACAATGTCTCAGTTTAACATGGATGCCCCATTCAGATTTTGTTTGCTTGTTTGTTGTTTAACGCACCACTAAGCAATATTCAGCTATTTGCAGCAATAACTGAGTATGAACCAAACAGTCCAATGATCAACATCATGAGCATCGATCTACGCAATTTGGACACGATGACATGTGCCAACCAAGTCAGGGAGCCTGACCACCTGACCCCTTTAGTCACCTCTTATGACATGCATGGGTCACTGAAGACCAATTCTAACCCGGATCTTCACGGGTAATCCCATTCAGATACACTGACTCTGAGCTGACAAGCCCCTTAACGTCCAACACCGTGCAGTCTGTAACGAGTGCTCATCTTCTAACACTGGGTATGCCCTGGGCGGAGAGTGAACCATCAGATCCCTGCAGATGTTCTATCCCCACAGCAGAGCAGGCGGTCACTGTGGCTGTACAAAAGTGTGCCAGCACAACAGAATTTACATACCTTCCTCTAACAACTGGACAGCATGATTAAATCATCTAAATTTCAAACATACTTTGTTTAATGCTTTTAATACAACTCATCAGACATTCTTAATTGCAATAACATATTGTAATACAACAGCAGTGACTGTTTACGTTCCACTGCACGATTGCCATGGTTACCAAGTGAGATTGGATCAATTTATTGAATATACAGGTGTTCCAGGACTGTGTAATCACATAATGGCAGCATGTTGTTTCCATGACCTGTACATGTTGGTTTCTCATACCACGCTCCAAATATCAGGTCATGACCTGTACATGTTGGTTTCTCATACCACGCTCCAAATATCAGGTCATGACCTGTACATGTTGGTTTCTCATACCATGCTCCAAATATCAGGTCATGACCTGTACCTGTTGGTTTCTCATACCATGCTCCAAATATCAGGTCATGACCTGTATATGTTGGTTCCTC